TGATCACTTTCCCTTCTTCCAAGTGCTTCAAAATGGATTCCTTAGGGATCCCCTCCATGATTTTTCCAGGGACTTAGGTGAGGCTGACTGATCTGTAGTTCCCTGGATCGTCCTTCTTCCCCTTTTTAAAAGATGGGCACTTCATTTGCCTTTTTCCAGTAATCCAGGACCTCTATCAATCTCCACAAGTTCTCAGAGATAATGGCCGATGGCTCTGCAATGACATTTGCCAATTCCCTCAGTACCCTCGGATGCATTAAACCAGAGTATTTGTGTATGTCTAGCTTTTCTAAGTAGTTCTTAACCTGTTCTTTCTCCACAGAGGGCTTCCCACCTCCTTCCCATACTGATTGGAAGGCTTTCTGGTTTCACAAGTAGGGTAAAAGAAGTGGCTCTATTTACCGTGTCATTTATTGCAAAATTGTAAATTCATGCTCATTTGAATCGCTGTACAAGGATATGGATGCCAAATACAAGCAGTTTCTCCTGCACACAGACAGGGAAAGCTCTGCCCAGAGTCTACACTACCCCACTAGTTCGAACTAGCGGGGTAATGTAGGCATACCGCACTTGGAAATGAAGCCCGGGATTTGAATTTCCCAGGCTTCATTTGCATAAGCGGGGCGCCGCCATTTTTAAATCCCGGCTCGTTTGAACCCTGTGCCGCATCTAGACACGCGGCACGGACTAGGTAGTTCGGACTAGGCTTCCTAGTATAGGACAAGAAGCAATGGGCTTAAATTGCAGCAAGGGAGCTTTAGGTTGGGACATTAGGAAAAACTTCCTGTCAAGGGGTATGTCTACACTACCCTCCTAGTTCGAACTAGGAGGGTAATGTAGGCATACCGCACTTGCAAATGAAGCCCGGGATTTGAATTTCCCAGGCTTCATTTGCATAAGCAGGGCGCCGCCATTTTTAAATCCCGGCTCGTTCGAACCCCGTGCTGCGCGGCTAGACGCGGCACGGAGTAGGTAGTTCGGACTAGGCTTCCTAGTCCGAACTACCGTTACTCCTCGTGGAATGACGAGGCTAGATGCGGCACAGGGTTCAAACGAGCCGGGATTTAAAAATGGCGGCGCCCTGCTTATGCAAATGAAGCCTGGGAAATTCAAATCCCGGGCTTCATTTGCAAGTGCGGTATGCCTACATTACCCTCCTAGTTCGAACTAGGAGGGTAGTGTAGACATACCCTAAGAGAACAGCTCCAGAGGTTTTTTACAGATAAAAACTCACCTTTAGCTGCACATTTTAATCACAAGATCTGACTCATTAAATTTGCATATTAGAGTGATATATTCACTGCACTTAACAAACTCACTCACTCTCTGCAAGGGAGAATGGTGTCCCTTTTTAAAATGGCAGATAAAATCACAGCCTTCAAAACCGAGCTGGAAACCGGGGGAAAACATGAATAGGGGATTTTTTTACATGTTTCATACTTTTGTGGATTTTCCAGGAGAAGCTATTGGACTTTCCAAGTTAATAAGTAAGGGTATGTCTACACTACCCCGCTAGTTCGAACTAGCGGGGTAGTGTAGACATACCCTTACTTATTAACTTGGAAAGTCCAATAGCTTCTCCTGGAAAATCCACAAAAGTATGAAACATGTAAAAAAATCCCCTATTCATGTTTTCCCCCGGTTTCCAGCTCGGTTTTGAAGGCTGTGATTTTATCTGCCATTTTAAAAAGGGACACCATTCTCCCTTGCAGAGAGTGAGTGAGTTTGTTAAGTGCAGTGAATATATCACTCTAATATGCAAATTTAATGAGTCAGATCTTGTGATTAAAATGTGCAGCTAAAGGTGAGTTTTTATCTGTAAAAAACCTCTGGAGCTGTTCTCTTAGGGTATGTCTACACTACCCTCCTAGTTCGAACTAGGAGGGTAGTGTAGACATACCCTAAGTGAGCGCCTGAAGTCATTCTCGAATGCATTTGAGCAATATTTCCCAAATTAAAAAGATCCAAGAGATGGGAAAGAATGGATCCATGATCCATTTCTTCCTGCCAACAAGGAGCCGTCCTTGCCACCACTGCAAGAGGATCAGTTTATTGAGCTGGCATGTGACAGAGAACTGAAAACTTTGTTTATTGCATCTTCATCTCTGTCGCCTTCCTGCATTAAAATAAAGGGTGAACATACAGAACTCAGTACCTTAGCTCTAAAGATCTTGCTGCCATTTCTATCTACATACCTTAGGCTGTGTCTAGACTACACCTCTCTGTTGATAGAGAGATGTAGATTAGGCACATCAAAATTACTTAAGAAGTGGGGATTTAAATATCCTGTAAACCTCATTGTATGGATAAGGGATCTTTCGAAAAAGGGTTTATTTTTCGAAAGATGCACATCTAGACTGCCAGTTTTTCCCAAAAGAGTTCCGTTTTGAAAAAAAGTGATGGCCATGTTTATGCTAATGAAGCATGGGATAATTAAATCCCCACTTTATTAGCAATTTCGATGTGCCTAATCTACATCTCTCTGTCGACAGAGAGGTGTAGTCGAGATACAGCATATGTGAAGAGGATTTTTCTGCAATGACTGCTGCCAAGACCAGACATCGCATTAGGCTTGACATGAGAAACACACTGCGAGGCTCTCTGTCTAGCATAATGCCTCAATATGACTTGCTTGTGTCAAGCAAACTAGCCCAATGATCCCACTGATGTGATCTTGTCAGTAAGTCACATTTTTATGTTAAGTTGCTAGACTAGCTAGTGTTATCTTATGTATGATTTTTAACAGTGGTGGAAATAAAATACTTTGGGTAGCTAGCGATGTCTTAGGTATGATTTTTAAGGTGGAAAGCAAATACTTTGGGGTGATCCCTGCCCATGGGGCCTTATATTGATAGCTGTTTCTGTAATGTAACCACTATTATTAGTAGCAATAGTACGTTTACTGTGCTTATATGGACTGTACAACACTTGGAAACTACAAACATTCCCCTATGGGTCTCCCTGCTATTAACTCATCCCTCCATACAAAGGGAGCTTCAGAGGTTCAGAACTCTGGGGGCGAAGGGCAAATTGGAGATTCACCACCAAACCCAGGAGAGCGCTGGGTTCTCAGTTACAGGTTAAACGCAGGCCATCCTTCCTGGGGGAGACTTTGCTTGCATGGAGCCCTAGTGCAACAGTCTTGAATATCATGCTTCGCCCCACTATGGTGATCAGTTATAATTTGGAAACCAATGTAATTGGTCTGATTCAATTGATCTGTTGAGTCCAATGACTGATGTGGTGGCTGCAATGGATTGAAGACCAGATCTGTAACCACGGACTAAGGATGTGATGGGGGTACTTGTTCAGCACAAGAACCCCATCAATGGGGGTACTTGTTACCTACCCGCTCTGTGGTCTACTCATTGACACAACACACCGGGTCTCTGCTTGAACCAAAGCCAATACAAAAAGCAATGAAAAGGCAGAGGAAGACACCCCTGAACTCCTGCGGACACTAGTGATACAGATAAGGGAACACCCTGGCCTCATCTGCCCAAAGATAGAACAGACAGACATGCCTGCTAGTCTACAGAATGGAGAACAGCACTTCCAAGGCAAGAACCGCACTGAACTATGGGATACGGAAAGCAGGAAAGCACTGCCTGATGGGAAATCACTGCTCTGAATGCTAATGAGCCCAGGTCTGCCAACTCCCAGCTCAGTAATTATCAGACCGGTTCTAGTCATAAATCCTCTGTTGCTATCCAAAGTACTGAAACTGCCTAATTGGATTATGAGCTTCCTGACCCTGCCCTCTACTTAAGGACGTGTATCTTCACATCTAAGTGATCCCCGCTCACAGGATATTCCAGAGATTCACCATAGGGGTGGATGATCGGTCTATGGCACTGTGGGTTTTTACTAAATGTATGGCAGCTGCAGTGGCCTTCCTATGGAGGCACAGGGCCAGGTATTTCCCTAGCTGGACGACTGGCTCATCAGGGGCTCATCCAGGGATCAGGTGCTGTGTCATACAGAGCTAGTCAGATTCCTGTTCCATTGGTTGGGTCTTGTCATAAATGAGAAGTCCACATCACCCCTACTCTCACATGGAGAGAGTTTTGCTCCTGCCCTGCCAGAGATCAAATGGTCCTGGGAGGGAGGGACTCCACTCCAGGCGGTGCTGGGCCATGCTGCCCCACTGTCACTTCCGGCTCCTGGGGAGCCTGCGGTAGAGCCCGGGCCCGCAGTCAGCCAGCTGACGAGTGAGCAGATGGAGGGGAGGGACCAGAGGTTGGGATTAGAGAGAAGCCCAACAACTCGGCCTTAGGAAGGAGCCAGAGAGGAGGAGAACTCGCTGTGGGTGGCCAAGTCAAGTCCTTCTGCAGCCAGCAGGGGGCAGCACAATCCCCTTCCAATGCTCCCCTGATTACAGTGCCCTAGGCATGGGCCCAGTCTGCCCAGCACTAAGACTGGCCCTGTGCAGAATCTTGCTCTGCATTAGGTTTGTCCTCCTCACATCTGTTTGTTAGATGCATCGAGCTCTTCCCTGGGAATGGAGTCTGTTGCTGATAAATAACTCTTACAATAGCCCAGCCCCCTCTCTGGATATCTTGGCCAATCTGTTTGCACTGTTCCACAGCCGGTATTCATACATGCTGCACTAACCACTTAGCTGTTGGGTGCAGTTAGTTGCTGTCTCCTCCTCCTGCCCCTGTGTGCTCCTCACCCCTGATGTTTTATTACTTTTTGTGGCTGCAGCTATTCAGTGACCTCAGCACCTGGTTGTGAATAGTCCTCTTTGACTTACAGCAGGTTTTTTTGTTTCGGGCACAGAAACTTTTCTGCAGAAAATTTCCCCCCAGCTCTACCTGTGATGTTCTTCCTTCACTATAATCTTCCATATTGTCTTTAGACACCTTTTAAAAATGGGATAAGGAGGGGGCACAAGCCCAGTTTTTCCCTTTGAAAATGTCTTCAATACTTCTTATTCATGTGGCAGATAGAAGCTAAAAGAGATTTTTGTTCATAGAAAATGCAGCTATTTAATGTCTCTATATCTGGAGAGCGTCTTTTTCACAAATGCACTTGGATGCAGCATCGCAGCTTTCAAAAGTAATGACATTTTCTTTTATCACCCCGCAGTTGTTCCCAATAGGAGGATTCTTGACCTTGGGCCTGAGAAACAAATAAACACTGTTTAGAATTCCTCATTCTGCCA